GATAAATCATGGCTGCACCAACGTACTTCAGTCATCCGTTGTTTTCTTCCTGTATTATGTATAATGTATCGGCAATTGATCTACATTAAGATATATTAAAACAAAGGTGTATTTGCGATAATTTTTAGACATCAAATGTTGTTCAAGTGGAAGATCTCGGTTCGATGGAACAGAGAAAACTGTTCTTGTTACAAGTCAACATTTATTTTTCTGTATATATCACCTTTTGGAGATAACAGTAATGTTAACAGAAATTATCTGCTAATTTTTCAGTTTATTTTTTATAATAATAATTTTATTGGGTGAACGCGTATTATCGTAAAGTATCATAGAGGTAAACGTGTAGAAAAGTTGTACAAGTTCTATCGCTTATGTTCACATATGCGTGTCTGCAAGTATCAATACAATTTATGATGGAACTATAACATAACTTTTTCTTATCATTCGGATTATTTCATTAAATTGCGAATAGATATTAATTATCTTCTAACTCTTCGAAATTTATATTTATAGTATTTTTCACGTTTAATTCGCAGATTTGTGTATTTGTTAGATAACTTTAAACATCTCGTCTTTATCAATGCAATACGAAAAGATCGTTATGGAAAATGGTTCAATGACTATTGTAACACTCTAACGCATCGTAGTGTAGTAATGTACACCGTAGTGTAGTTAAATGTAAACAAAAACGAATAATAGTCATCTCTCATAGACAGTATAATAAAACTGCATGTCGCATAGGAAAGAATTAAGGAAGAATTAAGTGCAGTGAATATTTCGCCTGATAGTTGTAACATTTAATTTTATGATTTAATTTTTGCTTTCGATTTAAGCTTCAAGATTTAAATGTTTTTAGATTGAAAAAGTTTTAGTAATAGGCTTTTAATAAAACCATAATCTTTTTTCTTACCAGAAAGTTGATAAAAAAATATTTTTTGTTATATCAATTTAATATTAATTTAAAATTTCGTCGAATTTACATGTACAATATTATAATTCGAAAATATCATAAAAATTTCTGATATTTTTAATATTGCAATATAAATTTTTTTCTTTTGTTTTTCTCTTTGAAAAAAGCACAAACAATCAATTATTACTGCAACGGCAGATTGAATCAAAACTTACCTTTTTTTTTATTAATTAAAAAAACTAATATTTTTCCTAAATATACATGCATACACTTTTTTTACTCGGTCTTTTATTATATCTTAGAATATAAAACAATTTTAAATTATATATATATATATATATATATATGTATATATTAAAATTGTTATATATTCCAAGGACACAATAAAAGACTGAATAGCCAAGTTTTTACATAGTTATTCATTAAAGTAATTTAACAAAGATGAAAAATGTAATGGATTAATAATAAAACATTATAAAAAAAATATTAATTTATTCTTTTAAGGCTAATCTCAATCTAAAATAAAAGACGAAATTTCCTTAATTTTTTTTTTTTGAAGAAATAAATTATGGTTGTGGACAATTTCGTCGTTACTTTTTATGAGATTATGATTTTATTCTTAGCGCTAAATTCTATGTTGGACTGCCTAACTTATAATTCAGTTTATATTTAATAATATCAGACTTAAATATGAAATCGATATGATTTATATTTTATGGAGGACACATATATATATAAATATATTGTATAAATGTAAATGTAGATCCATGTCATCCATTTTGTTTATTAAACTTCAGTTTTTTAAACTTCTTTATTATTTTTGTAAAAATTTGTGATCATAAATTACTTACCCTTGTTATAAGATTCTCGGTATATAAGTAAAGTAAAATCATACTATATAGAATATATATAGATATACATATGTAAATAGACGTTCACAAAACTTGTGGAGATAGATAATTAACCTGCCTACGTAGTAGAATCACAACACTTTCCTCCAAAATTATGAACTAAATTTATTATGTAATTTAACATTACCTTTCAGACTTTAGAAACTTCTTTCTTCTTTACACTGTCTCTCCCTCTTTCTTTTTCTCTTTCTCAGCTAAAACGTACGACGAAAGATTTGATTGATAACAAAGATGACCGAGCAGCAAACCACTCATCAGGGAAGAACAATGAAATGTAGAAGCAGAAAAGTAGTTAACTGCACCATATCAATGTGCAAAATCCACCAAGGAGGCCAAATCTATCCGTGACACCTAACACACTCACTGGATCGTCTAAAGCCCTGCAACATACATCAAGGTCCCCCTCACTGTACCTAAACAATTTTACAATACAATTATAAATTGAATTTGTATTTATCTCAACTAATACTTGTACTACATTAAACAAACATTTTATTTAACCTTTAAGACGTATTATGATTATAGTTACCTAAAGATAATTCTAAAATGCAAACATTATATAATAATGAATTTTGTATATACATTTAGAAAACAGAAATTTAAACAAGTTGGTAACAAGTTGGTGTAACAGAATCTAGATGAATATGTATATATGCTCGAAAAAGATAGAAATAACTTTTTTAGTATGAATATTTATTTTTGTTTATACCATATATTTCCCTTTTTTTTTTTTACTAAAGATTTATAAACCTAAGCACTTTTAATTGAAATCATTGGTGTATTATTGTATTCTATATTATTAAGAATCAAATTGATAATCGAAATTATCAATTCAATTAAATTTTTCCATTTTCTTCCGATTTCATAATTTTTCAAATTTTTTTCCAACAAGGTTTGTGCAATCTTTCTCTTTTCGAAATCGATTAGAATTCTCTCGAGTTTTCACATGGCTTCTAAACGTATCCATTTTTTTCCGCCCACTTCATAATAGAGTTAATAGTAGTTAATAAGTATTCGAAGAATTACTCTATAATCTAGTATCTAGCGCGTACTACCTCAGTATTATTCACTTAGGTGACAAACGAATGTTAAGAATAAGCAAATGAAGCGTCTAAAATTTTCCGGCTTCAAAGTATCTCGTGGCAATATCGTCGATACCATCCCGCTGACACGCCATATAAGCATCTGCAGAAGAGCAAACCGTACAAATAATAATGCACAGTATGCTGTAGATCATTCATCCGTTGAGCACGTGGTGCGACAAAAATCTTTTGAGGAAGAGAACGAATTTCGAGATACGTATGATAAATAGGACGGTACGTTTACGTTATCCAATTTATTATTGCGGCGCGGCGTAGGGAAATGGAAGGAGGGCGAAATATATCATATAGAATAAGATATCGGCATGTGATACGCCAGAATACTCGACTCACCGAATTGCTATACAGAAGTGAAGTATATCATGAAGAAGAACGCTGATTATGAACTACGATAACAATTTGTGAACGCGACGGACGCAAACGAGATTGATCCTCGCCTCGACGAATTCGTGAGCGTGGAAAAGCGTCGAGAAGCGTCGAGATGGCTGCCGTTGCCGTGTAATCAGTCGAGTGAACCCCGTAGATCATTGACTATGGAACCACTTAAAGGTCGACAGGGGTGACAACTGACAAGCTAACTCATTTACACCTCATTTATGGTGCAACTACATATCTGTACTCTATCAGACTACGTACCATATATAATTGTCTCGTAAAAGAAATATTTTATCATGACACTCGTTTTGGCTTATATTTTACGAAGCTACAGAACCTATTAAAGAACCAAATTTTTCATTCTTAAAAGCATTTAATGAATAAAATGGTATGCCTTAAACTAATTCTACATTAGTTGCAAGCTGATCGCAAATTTGTTGCGCCAGCCAATATAAAGCGTTGATTTCAAAATGCAAGCTTCAGATTGGCTGTCGCAACAAACTTGCGATCGGCTTGCAACTAATGTAGAACCGGTTATATTTACAGTACAGCCACAGGCCACAGGGGCTCTATTCTTGAAAAGAAACGTATACGAAAGTCTAGGGAAATACTATAGTATACATAACGTATACTATAGCATTTCCCTAGAATTTCGTATACGTTTCTTTTCAAGAATAGAGCCCCAGATTTATCAGAGAAGTACGATCGACTTATATTAGTATCGCAAAAATATTAAAAAGTACTAGAAAAAGTATTAAAAATGGTGTTTGCAAGACGGACTATTGGCTCCTGCAGACTGGACGTGGAAACGCTTGCCGCGCTGCAAAATGTGATGCGGTAGCCAATAAGCTAGCTTACAGCTTTTAATATGTTTATTGATTATCGCGTCTTATTTTGCCTCGCGGCAAGCGTTTCTGCGTCCAATGTGCAGGAGCCATATGAAATCCACTATGAAATCACCCATTAAGCAGCCATTTTTAATACACAGAAATCAATTCATGATTGGCTGCTAAGTCATGTCATTACGATGACCAATCAGAACATTTAACAACAGTCGTGCTTCTCTGATAAATCTAGGGGTGCGATCGAGTTGCCACTACGAATGTTTCGAAGCATTTGATTGGGAGGATCCCGTTTGCCTACAATCCCGATTGCACACACCACTCATATCAGCTGGTGCCTAGTAATTTTTCACTGCTTTACCAATGAGAATATATTTTTTTAAATTGGCCAATTAGCGACGCATGTGTGCAACATGCAATGTGTGCAATCGGAGCCTTCCCCATTTGATTAATCAATTGAAAGAAAGAATTTTACTAATTAACCAATCAAAAAACCAGTCAATTATTCTTCTCACATTCGACTGTGATTGGTCAATTTCTTACTTTTACTTCTTACTCCGTGTATTGTAGACACGCCTAAATCTAATGCTGGATTCACACTGTATTCGATTTTCGTCGTACGACGCTTTTCAACCAATCAGAAAACAGGATTCCGATGGATTTTGCTTCGTATCATTGGAATTCTGTTTTCTGATTGGTTGAAAAGCGTCGTACGACGAAAATCGAATACAGTGTGAATCCAGCATAAGGTTTGTCGCGTCGCATGCTCCAACATGTTCCAACATACTCCCACCATAGCTCCTACTCACTCTATCAAGCGCGTTGGAGTGAGTAGGAGCTATGGTAGGATATTGGAACATATTGGAGCATGCGACGCGAATAAACCCCTAGTAACTTTAGGCGATTTCGACGGTAACAGGAAAAAGGCCGGCATGGCCATTCTTAGATTTCTCTCTGCTGAAATGATGTGAAATTATCGCAAATATTTGTTGATAGTATAAGGTTAAGACAAAAATGTTTGTTTTGGCGGAATTAAAAGATACTGTTAGAATACCACCAAGTAGCTTTAAATCTAAATTAAACGACGTCATTGCTGACGAATTAAATAGAAAGCTCGCTAATAAAGTAAGTTACTTTTATTAGATAAATTTATTGTTATTGAAGAACTATTTTATGTAGTTTAGTTGTTTCCCTACCAGAAAGTTATTGGCGCGCAATCTGAAATAAATTTATTTAATTGTATTGGTTCGAAACATCTTACTTTGACCAAATTGATGGCTTTCTCTGTCATATATTATGTATTTTTATTATAGGTATACAAGGATGTAGGCCTTTGCATCACATTACATGATATTACGAAAATCGAAGAGTCGTATATTTTTCCAGGAGACGGAGCTTCCCATACAAAAGTGACATTTAGGTTTATTGTATTTCGTCCATGGATGGAAGAAATATTAACAGGAAGGATTCGTAGTTGTAGTCCTGAGGGAGTACATGGTAACAGTCAGTTTATATAATGTAATAATGAAACTTCCAACTTTGACCGATCCTAAGGTGCTCTCTACTATATTATGTTGTCATACAATTTAATTTTTTATTATGTATGTTACTAGTATTTATTCTTTGTATTTAATATATGGATTTCTAAAACAGGTTATATCATATTACTTAGTATAATAGAGAACGTCAATAATTGGTCGAAGTTAGATGTTACAAATACAATATATTTTTAATTATCTCAGATGTGTCTGCGCCGAAACGTTTGGACATTAATTGCAATTGATCTGAGACTTTAATAATATAAATATGAATAGATGATATTTAAGAAATCACCGAATATTGATTTTCATTAATTTTTTACTCAATTAGTATCAAATTTACAGAAAAATAGCAAGTGACACAAATTGTTTATTTTCTTTTCATAGAACTCTAAGAATTTTTTCAGAATTTTTTATCAACTTTTTAATACTGCATTTTCTTATTGGCAACTCTTTTTACCAATATAAGAAAATATGCGGTACTGATAAATTCTTAAAAAGAAGTTCTCGCAATTCTATGAAAGAGAATGAGAAGAAAATAAACAATTTTTATCACTTGTTTTTCTGTAAAGTTTTTTTTTTGATAGTACTTAAGTAAAAAATTAATAAGAACCAATATATTCGGCAATTTTTAATAATGGATATCTTATTAACTATTGCAAAAGTTGCAAAATGATATTAAGGACTTTTCTACTCAGTTTAATCTACTGTATCAGCACACAAAATATTTGGTGGTCATTCTGAGACACCCTATGTATATATGTGTGTATGTGCATGCATACGTGTGTATATGTAGAATAAGAGAATCAAATCTGGGACTAATTGTATAAATCAACTGCCCTGACATAAAGTAATAAATCATTTCATCAAATGGGTCAATATACATTTGATATTAATATACATTTTATTTTGTTACAGTTACATTAGGATTTTTTGAAGATATAGTCATACCACCTCATAAGTTACAGCATCCGTCACGTTTTGATCAAATGGAACAAGCATGGGTTTGGATATACAAGGCTGACGATGGAAAAATACACGATCTATTTATGGATGCAGGTCTTACATGTGCATGCAAGATCATTATATATTAATCTAAGAAAATATATTAAAGTTGAAACATTAAATTTTAGGAGAAGTTATACGATTTAGGGTAGTAAAAGAAATTTTTACGGAAGCACCTTTACCATCAGTACTTAATGCATCTCAAGATATAAGTGAAAAGGCAGAAGCCAATAATATGGCTGCGCCATATATTTTACATGTATGTTTACAAATTTTTAATGTTTTATTATTCATGTATTTCGCTTTTAATCTCGACAATGTGTTTTAATAGAACAATATTTTATAGGGATCGATTGATGAACCTGGTCTGGGTTTACTTACCTGGTGGCAAAATGCACAATAATTCATTATGATTATTTGATCCTAAGTAAACTAGATGCATGATTAAAGTAAAAACAATTTTGGTCAATAAATTTTTATTTCACAGCACATTCCATTGTATTGTGTCATCATTAAACGTTGCATCTGTGAGCAGTATTTCACAGGGTGATTCAGTTTTTCAATATAGCTTTGCCCGTATAGATATATTTACGTTCAGTTTTGATTGATAACAGAATTATATAGGTATGGTTTGTACAATATATACAAAGGTATTATGTGCCAGACATGTGACAACCCATAAAAATGATCTTTGCATGTCATTATTAGATTGCTTTGAGAGATTGTAACTTAATAGAATATATTCCAGAAAGCTATTGCTTCAATGACTATAATCCATGATCATTATATCACATAAAACAGCATCTTAACAATTTATTTTAAAGATAAATTTTTTATAATGCAATATAATAATATTACATTGTAAAATAAATTGTGAAATTATTGTAAATAAATTGTAAAATTAATGTTTCTTAAATTTCGAACTTTTCTCCAGTAAATATTTAGCTCAATTATATTGCATTAATATTATTTAATCGAAAACAAAGAATGTTAGCGAAAAGTCTTAAATTCAAAAAATACAGATTGATATATGTGTATATTGTATTGCGTAATGCGTTAAAAAATGTTTTTATGTCTCTGATAATAAATACAACAATAATAATAAATTAAGAAAAACATTCTTTGGCATTCTATTGATGTTGTCCTAATGCACAGCTTGGACATGTGGTGCTTATTTAAATTGATTAATACGATGCACTTATTTAGTCATTAATAGAGCTTATCTATTTGATATATATCAATAAAAGATGTAATACGACACATACTGACGTAACACACAAATTATTAAAATTATTTTGCGAAATCCGTGAAATATATCTAATTATATGTTATGTTAATATATACTTAGTTGGAAACCACAAAGAATATAGCTAGTAAAGTCTTAAAATTTAGAAAACACCGATTGCATAGGGATATATGAAGATAATGTAAGGACGATGTTTATCACGTTATCGCGAGTGCTATAATTGTGAATCGCATGATTTTCTGTCTATAATACATGTATCAAAACAAATAACACGAATCATGTATTCATGAATAGATTAACGGGTAATACGACTTGGAATGTTATCTTCTGTGTAATTGATATCTGCTAAATACTTTCTTTCAAGTAACATGTGAAGTGTACTGCAGCTATAATCACAAAGAATGGAACAATGCACACGATAGACATATTTGGCGGAGACAATAATCGAGCAACAACAATATGTAATTACTTAAATAAATAATGTCTTAAATTCAATAACCAAATGATTTCTTCGCTACTATTGCGTCCGTCAAATGCTCTTGATAATGTAGTTTAAATGTATGCGAACCAATTAGCATTATGTACAATATAAATTTATCACAGTTCTAACTGTTGAGTCTTTTGCTATATATGTTTATTTGGACTTTCTATATTACTAGGAGGCAAAAAGAAGGAATCACTGATCTCTCATCTCTGATGCATTATCAATCTTTTCTAATGTACAATATTGAATTCATTTTTGTACATGATCATTACATGCTTGAGTCTTCTTTCTGTTTTATCTAATCGATATAGATACAATTGCAATCTTACATGCCCGTAGAACATGATTACGTGGCAGAATGAAAAAATACCAAACGAACGGAAGTGCATGGGACGTTAATGTATTAAAAATGTCTACGCATTATATATTGAGGGCTAGTATTCTCTTAGACCATTACGAGGAAAACGTAATTCTTTCATTATCTGGACGTCAGTTGCTTCTTATGCTGCTCCCATCAGTTATACTGCTTCCATCTTTCATTCAAAATATTGCTTTCTGCGAATTTTTTCTATTAAGATCTGTTTCTCGCAGTTTAATTCTTTCTGTTTGACACATACGTTTGCATATCATAAAGAATTTTATTCGCAGATATTTTTATTAAATATTTATTCGATGATTAGGCAACGTGGTAAATGTTCACGTAAATAGTCAAACAGTTCTCGGGACGTTCCTGGACAATTAGTTAGTTCTAACTCGTGTAAGTGTCGAAGCTGTATCAGACTAGATAAACCACTACTTGTGAGCAATGGACAACCTATGTGAAATTGAATGTTATTTAATATATACATTTTTGTCAAATCAAATATGTAATTAAATTTATATAATTGTCTTAACTTTTCTTGCGCGAGTGAAATGTAGCAGAATTATACGTATGTAACATAAATTTAAAAAATAATATACCTATTATTATATATATTTGTGTTGAAATGACATGATACTTTTCTAATTAGTTCAATTAATATTATAATTCATTTCTATATAGAAAGATTACTTCTCTCTTCTTGAAGAATGTATATTTAAAAAATTTTTATAGAAATTTTTAAAGAAGTTTTTGTTTTTCTAATGTGGATATAGAAAATAAATTTCATAGTTTAGTGTACAAAGTTTATAATATTTCATCACACAAGAAAAATCGTTAAGGGGATCCTAAACACGTTTATTTTACCGTTTATAAAAACGCTTAATTTTTCCTCGTTTACAGAATATCTTTTTTCGAGATTAAAGTAGACGCATTAATATGTGCCTGTAAGGTGGAGTTCATATCGAGAACGATAAAAAAACTGTTTGATTATGGTAATATCTTTACGTTTATCAAATATCTGAAGAGGGTCTAATTTAAAGGCCGAAACATGTTATATCATAACTTAATTATAATTGATCAGAATATTGTATATTATTGTATAATATTTCAGTTTTTTAACATATAATATAATTTTGTAATTGATTCTTATATGCTCTTTTATTGTATTTATTTTTTATTAATTTCAAGAGTCCGTTTTTATTATTATTAATTTTAATTGGTGAAACAGAGAGACGTCTTTAGGATCCCCTTAAATTATTTATTAATTAGTTAAGTTGATTAATGCGATCTTACCTGCTACAGATAACACTTGTAGAGATCTCATGACGCACAAATGTTGAAGTCCGAAATCTCTAAGTTGTGAACACCATCTTAGAAACAAAGCACTCAATGAAACCATCGTGGAGATGTAACCGACGCCGATATCAGTAATGTGTACACACCTGTATAGTAATATACAAAATATATATGATGCAAAAGAGATACAAATGAATGCGTTATTATCAAATACAATATGTTCGGAACACAATATTGTTAGAAACACGAAATAATAAACGAGATGCGTACATATATGTATTACCATGATAGATAGTCTCTTGGTTGAAAGTAATTGAAAATTCATTTATATTTCAATAATTTTGTCTTACCTATCTAATGTGAGTTCTTCTAAGTTATTCAAATCACAGGCGATATATTCTAAGGCTGCATCTGTAATCCTTGAGCACCAGCTGAGATCTAAGGAACGAAGTCTTGGCAAGTTTTCCGCGATTAATTCAACGCCATCATCTGTTACTTTACTGCATCCAGAAAGTGACAGTACAGTCAGATTAGGTAAGGAATGTACTAAAACAAAGACGAATATATTAATTTAATATACATCATATTACATATAAAAAAATATACACATATATAACAATATTCTAAAATGATAAAAAGTTACAAAGAAGGTTGTTTGAATATGAATTCTGATATTTTTCTTTGATTTTTAGAATAAAAATTATACTAAAAAAAGTGTAAAAATTTATAAAGTATGAAAATTTACTTATTATATTTATAGTAACATTTACAACTGACTTTTTAAAGTGGAAATTAATTTTATATTTATTCTTCTTTTTATTATATTTTTTATTTTAATTATTGAATAAATTTAATTAATTAATTAAATTTAATTAATAATAAACGTCAATTAATTTTACGTTTCAAAATACTTGAATTATAAAATTTTATTAGTGACATAAATAATTCTCTTTTGCAATATTCCGTTTAAATAAGGTATACATTTGTTACGTGTACAAAATACATACACTTATTTATTAGAAGAGTCATTATAACTTGAGTTTGAGCTATCGGTAACAGCTAAATAAAGCTATGTTCCCCTTAATTCTAAATTTAATCTCAAGCACATATATGCATCTGCTTTAATTTCGGACCATTACTATATTGCTCTACATCTAATTAACTTTGTCACAAAAGGTTCAATTAGAATTTAAACCTGACAAAAGGCTCATATTTTTCAAAAATAATTTCATGATTTGCCTTTGATTTGCCGTTTGATTTTAACCAAGGAATAAAGATTGTTAATTTTTAATTTTTAAAAAATAAGGTTTTATCGTATATTTCAACAAATGTAAATTTATCTTCATATTTTTAAAGATAAAACTGTCCGTCAAAGAATAGATTGTCTTTTTATCTTAAACTTCCCAAAACATCTCATATTAATAATATAATAATATTGTTACATTTGAATGCTATAAGAAAGAATTTGAGATGAGAAATAAATTCATTAAAAATGCTTTCAAGCAAAACATATCCAAATAAAGTGATAATGACTCTTACCAATATTTACTACGCCGTGATTTGTGAGCTCCCAGCAGGATTGCAGCTTCAAGATGCTAAGTGCGCTGCTTTGCTTTGCACTGAAGTAACCAAGTGCAGCGTCAGTAACATGATAAGCTTGCAGAGAAAACTCATATAGGCTCGGCAACAGCTGAGCCACGGCGCCGACAGCTTCGTCGGCGACATTGATGCAATCCGACAAAGACAACGACACTATTCTGGGAGTAAGGCATGCCCACAGGCCAGCCTCTGTTATCTCATTGCAGCCGGCCAATTCAAGCTCATACAAAGCCTAAAAATAATGGCAAACCAAATGGTAATTAAGTTGATTCGACACGTATCGTGCGTCTATACTTGACAAACGTATCTCTGCGTATCTCACAATCCTCTTAATGGGAACTCATCTCTTTAGTTATGGAATTACCTCGTGTCGCAAATTGAATCTTGGTTTGAGTGACACGGCATCTTCCGCGCGAGCATTTAAGATCTTTGTTTTCAAGTAAAAGCTAATCGAGAATGTGTGTATGTCTTTGGACAATGTTAAGTTATTCGAATACTGTAATTTTTCGATTTTGAGCGTTATTCGAATTACGAAAAATTGTAGGATCTTTTACAAGCTATACATATATATATGTACAGCTAGGATAGATAAGCGTTACGATAGAATACGATAAAATACAGAAAATAAGGACATAGAATTTACCTGCAAATGATCCAAGAGAGTTTCGAGACCTCGG